AAAAAACGGGCCGGATCTGGCCCGCGGGCCGTAGTTTGCCCACGGCTGATCTAGACTGTCACTATTTATTTATTTTTTATTTTTTATTTTTTTATTTTTTTCAGGGGAGAGCTCGAACGCAGTCCCCCCCTACTGCAAATTATGCAGACCCGTTTCCCACATGTGGGGAAATCGCAGGGGTCAGCACATCCACAGGGCAACGGACAAGCCTCGCTCTGGGAAAACCGCCCTCGTGACCATGGTATCTCCCCTGCCAGGTAAGTAGGACGAGATTGTGACTATTTTTCTAATGAAATAGGATAGAAAACATCTAAGTGCATCACACTAGTGCTGGTGTTGTTTCCTGGGACTTGTCTCAAGTGTGCGCCTGCTGGAACATGATGTAAGACATATTCTTGTTCCTCACGGTGAGGACAGTTTTATCATATCCCTTTAGACCTACTCTGACCCCAGGGACATCAGGGCACCTCTCTCCAGGCCCCCTTGGCTGCAGACTGTGTGAGTCGCTAAGCTCACAGGACCTGACTCTCTTCTTGCTGCCTTGGCAACGCCTTAGGATAAAGGACTCAGCCCTGGGGAGCCACTCACCTGCAGAAAGTCAAGGTCGGGCTTGCTAGTCGTCTCCTGGATCTGGCTGGTGAGCTTGGACAGCTGGGTGATCTCGCCCCCCAGCTGGGCCAGGTTCTCGTTCTGCTTTTGTGTCACCTCCCGGGACAGCTCCTCCAGGCGGCCCAGGAGCCGGCCCTCCTGCTCCACCAGGAAGGCCCGCAGGGCCTGGAACTCTGCCCCCACCTTCTCTCGCTCGGCTGCCATCTGCTTCTGTCTCGGGAGAGAAGTTGCAGAGGTGAGGGACATGGGCATTTGGACAGGAGCGCTGAGCCACCCCAGAAGGCAGGGTTACATCCGCCTTGCTGTTCAGGGGTCAGAGGCTCACCCACACAGGCACACCCTGCACAGCCTCTAATTTAAATACCCCACAGCTAAGGGCACAGCAGCTTCAATACACGCTCTCGCTTCCCCTGGCACAGATGTGCCCACGTGTCTTTGTAGCTGGGCTCTCCCTCAAACCTAGGGCAACTCCAAACTCACCTAAGAACTACTAAAGGCTGCCGTTTCCTCGTCTGAAAAGGAAGGTAAACGAGTGCCTCCCGGGCCACTCTCAGTATTAAACTGAGGTCGCTCTTTCTTCCCCAAACACATTTACTATGTGTCACATACAAGAAAACAGGGCCAGTATGGAGTCGCTATGCTAAGCACCACCTCGCTAAACAGGCTTCATTGTAGTTTCGGCTATCCCAGAAATGGAATCTTTTTTTTTTTTTTTAAAGGAAAGGTTTTTGTTTTTTTTTAAATATATTTTATTGATTTTTTACAGAGAGGAAGGGAGAGGGATAGAGAGTTAGAAACATCAATGAGAGAGAAACATCGATCAGCTGCCTCCTGCACATCTCCTACTGGGGATGTGCCTGCAACCCAGGTACATGCCCTTGACTGGAATCTAACCTGGGACCCTTCAGTCCGCAGGCCGACGCTCTATCCACTGAGCCAAACCAGTCAGGGCAGAAATGGAATCTTAAACCAGCTGATCAGGAATTGCCTTTGTTGATAACCTGCCCTCCCTGATTGGGAAAGTAGCCTTGCAATAACCAAACCGGCTTTTTTGCCTATAGACATTCCTTGTCCTTGCTACCTCTGCTTATAAAATCTCTCCCCTAATACAGCTCTTTGGGGTTCCTTTCTATCTGCTAGATTAGATGTTGCTCAATTCATCAACCACTGAATAAAGCCAATAAGATCTTTAAAATATACTCAGTTGAATTTTGTTTTTTAACATTCACCATCCCTCCAACTTTCACTCACTTTATTTCATTTTATTTATTTATTTTTGCGATTGTCTGAAATTTCTATAACCTTGCTCCGGATGCAGCAGGGCAAGGCCTCAAACCGTTCCAAAATGTTCTAGCAAGCACTATAGGAATGCACAGGGTCACCCCAGACCCAAGCACGCTGGAGGCTTGCAGACTTTATTTCATTTTAAAGTTTTTTTTTAAAAATTGACTTTAGAGAGGGAGAAGAAGGGGGAGAGAGAAACGTCGATTTGTTGTTCCACTTATTTTGGTTAAGTTTTTTTCTTAAGACATATTTTTAGGGGGAAATAGGGGGTAATGTGGGGATAAGGACACATGTGTAATAACTCAATCAATAAAAAAATTTTTTTAAAAAGAGACATATTTTTAGTGATTTCAGAGAGGAAGTGAGAGGGAGAGATAGAAACATCGATGATGAGAGAATCATTGATCTGCTGCGTCCTGCGCATCCCCCACTGGGAATCCAGCCAGCAACCCAGGCAAGTGCCCTGACCGGGAATCGAACCACGCCCTCCTGGTTCATAGGTGAACGCTCAGCCACTGAGCCTCTCCGGCCGGGCTTGGGTGATTCTTGCATGTGCCCTGCCGGGGACAAACCCACAGCCTTGGTGTATGGGGACAATGCTCGAACCAACTGAGCCACCCAGCCAGGGCCTTCGCTTCACTTTAAAGAGCACCATTTCTGTTTAGCAATTATGAAGGTAACATATGCTCACAATACAAAATCTGCGAGTTGCAGAAAAAGAAGGAAGGAAAATCAATGCCAGTGACCAGAGGTAGCAGCACACCGACCTGACCCAAGTGAGAATATGCTGTGTGCAGGCTTCCTATTCTGTTATTTCCATTACCATTACCCACTGGATGTTTGCTCCTGTGTTTTCAGACACAGGCTCATGCTACGGATCCCCTGGATCCTTCACATGAGTATGTGCGAGGGGCTGCACATGACATAACAAGCAAGGACTAGCGAGAAGTGAGGAGGATTCCGTTCCTCCAGGACAAGCTCAACCGCCACAGTCCCTCTGCTTTAAAAGCCCGAACCGAGCCAGCGTGGCTCAGTGGTTGAGTGTGGACCTATGAACCAGGAGGTCACGGTGCGATTCCCAGCCCGGGTGGGATCCCCAGTGTGGGATGTGCAGGAGGCAGCCGATCTATGGTTCTCTCTCATCATTGATGTTTCTGTCGCTCTCTCCCGCTCCCTTCCTCTCTGAAATCACTAAGATTTTTTTAAAAGGCTGGAAGAGGAGCCTGTGAGTGGGTTTTGAATTCAAGAGACCTGGGTTCAGGCCATGGCTCTTCCCTCCCACCCCCTCCCAACCCCACCGCGGCCCTCAGGACATTGGGCACGGGGCCCTTTACAGGTGTAAACTCACTCAACGCTGACAACCCAACAATGTGGGTGCACTTTCACCCCATTGTACAAATGAGGAGGGAGTCAGAGCAGCACGTCTGTCACCAGTAAGTGGGGAGCCAGGACTCCACCCCAGGGAGTCTGAGCCAAGAACCTGCATTTCTTGCAACTATATCATCCGGCCTCCCAAGGAAATAACGCAAGTGGGATGATATTGGCCAAAATACTCTAAATCAGGGCTTACCAGCCTCTGCGCTACTGACATTCGGGGCCAGATAGTTCTTTGTTGTAGCGGGCTGGTGTGGCTAAGTGGATAGACCGTCGGCCTGTGGACTGAAAGGTCCCAGGTTTGATGCCGGTCAAGGGCACATGCCTGGGTTGCAGACTCGATCCCCAGTGGGAGACGTGCAGGAGGCAGCAGTCTCATCATTGATGTTTCTGTCTCTCTCTCTCCCACTCCCTTCCTCTCTGAAATCAATAAAAATATATTTTTAAAAAATATCTTCAGACATTGCCAAATATCCCCTGGGGGCCAAAACTGCCCCCACTGAGAAGCACTCCTAAGTGGCAAGAGCATTTTCAGATAAAAGCATTCATTCTGTTATCATGCAGCAAGGGCTATCCTCTACCTCTACTGCTGTATTAGCAGGTAGTATTTTGTAATTCTAAAGAATACGGGGCCAGAGGGGTGGTTGGCAGGGGACCCAGGGGCAGGTGCTAAGCGGTGTCATGGTGGGTAGGGCCAGAGACAGGACGCTGCCCACGATGTGGGAGGCCTCTGGGTCGTAGATGGAAGAGCCACATGCTCACTCCTGTCTCCAGAAGAGGGTGGGTGTCTGGAGATGAGGGTTACGCTCTTCCTTGGGGCGGGAACTGAATGATCAGAAGGGAGGGCTGGGGTGCACAGGGAGGCAGGGGCACCAGTGCAGGTGAGGGTCAGGAAGGGCCTGAACTCAGGTCTTCCCCCCACACCACCCCTCCCCAGCTTGGGGATAGGAGGGTCCTCCAGTTCCCAACTTCAGAACTGCGTGGCCCTCTCCTAACAGACTCCCCATAGATCCTCCATTCTTTTAACACCAACTTATCGAGCGAAGAACTGAATTTGCGAGGTAGAAAATGACAGTCCGTGACCCACGCTGCTCGCCTCATCAAAAGGAGCCCGTTTCACTTTCCTGCTCCACCGAAAAGAAGACAAAATATAATTCCCGCCCACCAGGGCTCATGGGCACACGGGCTGTGCAGCGGGAGCTCCTAGGAACTGGTCGCCAGACTTCCCACCCTCAGCGCTCTGACCCAGCGAGCCCCCTTCCACTTAGCCCAACTGCAAAACCTCAGAACTCTAAAAATGAAAAAACAGTCTTTTCATAATTCTTCCGGTGGCAAAAAAAAAAATGCCCTAGGCCAGTGGCCGGCAAACCGCGGCTCACGAGCCACATGTGGCTCTTTGGCCCCTTGAGTGTGGCTCTTCCACAAAACAGTGCGATTGAAACTTCCCGGCCCATGCGCAGAAGTCGGTTTTGGCCTGGGCTGGGCCTCGGGATACGCAGCTCGATTCATGCACGAGTTGAGTGAGCCAGTCAGTCAGTCAGCCACTCTGTGCAGTGGTTAGCGCTAGTCGCGTCCGCACATCGCGCGCGCGGGTGACAAAAGTACCTACTCGAAGCATAAAGTTACCTGTATTTTTCCAACCAGCTGCAAATCCTACAGGTATTTTTGTCATCAATTTAAGAATTGTAATTATTTTGTGTTGGTGGCTTGAGCCACATGCGGGTCTTTGGCCCCTTGAGTGTGGCTCTTCCTAAGCCTTAGGAGTACCCTAATTAAGTTAATAACAAGGTACCTACCTATATAGTTTAAGTTTAAAAAATTTGGCTCTCAAAAGAAATTTCAATCGTTGTATTGTTGATATTTGGCTCTGCTGACTAATGAGTTTGCCGACCACTGGCCTAGGCTGACACGAGGCTATTTACTGTATTTATGTTCTCACTGAGTCTGAATATGCATGTTCCTCCGCAGAAACATTATGGCATTCCACCGGGAGAGGCTCCAAGGCCCTACCTGGGTGTAATACTAACAGGGCTGTACATCCCGGTGCACTGGCACAGCTCGTCGAAGCCAGCTGTTCTAGGGTTAGTTTAGCACCTCCTTTCGCTTGCAAAAGCCCTCGTTACATGATAAAGTATAGGGTCGCCTTTTATAACATGCACCCAATTATCTTTCTAAATCCACCTCTGCGGTTCCACTGCACATGCTCCACCCACACACACAACTGCCAGGTGTGGGTGGCCCTCCGCTGCGGGGAGGGGGCTCACCAGGAGCTCCTTGCTCTCCTTCTCTTCCGTGGAGCGAAACACCTCATAGTCCTCCAGGTCACTCTTCAGGGCCTTCAGCCTGGACTCCAGGAGCTCCTGCGGGGGGTGAGACGGCGTGGGCAGAGGATTCTGGAAACCCCCAGGAGCAAGGGAAGGCCCTGCGGCCTGAGGAGGAGGCCAGGGTGGATACAGCCTGACTTCGCACAGGGGGACAGGGCACTTTTAGGGTGAGGCCAAAAGCCCGAGGCTCTCACGTCCCCAAGACCATCAGTGTCCAAGTTCAGGCGGAAACACACACCTCAACGGAGGCCCCAGCGAGGAGGCGGGACAGAAAGGAGCCCAGACGCTCGCTCCGGGGCTCTGCTCAACCCCGGACCACCCACCCACCGTCCCCGACCCCTCGGGAAGGCCTCCCACCCGCGGGAAGAGCTGGGAGCGGGGCAGCGGCCGTGTGGATGCGCCCAAGTCGCCGCTAGAGGCCGGGGAAGGAAAGAAAGAAACTCGCCAAGTCTGCGGGACATCGCCCAGGCGATGGTGCTGGGGGTACTGGGGGTGCGGGGGTGACAGAGGGGTCGCCACGCTCACACCCGGCGCCAGTGCTGAGCAGGAGGAAGGAGGCAGGGGCTCACCGGAGTCCTCCCCCCGCCCCCCACCCCGTCTG